TGGGTCTCATCAACAAGTACAAATTCCTCGAACCCACAGAAGATTGAATCCGGGACCTCACAAACGGAACACAATCACACTGCCCACTTGATCACCGGGTAGCTAATCCAACTGCTTTACTGTAACAATACACCATATAACATTAACCCAGATTGTTGCCGTCATCTGACCATGCTGATCTTAGGGGGTTCAAACTGGGTCAACCAACTTCTCAGCCTGGAAAACCGGTAACCAGTACCTGTAGGCATTATTAAGGTGAAAAGTGATTTAAAGTAGAGCTAACAGTAACTTGTTGCATAAATGTGTGCATTTGAAGCAAGAGATAGGAGTCAGAAGGTTCACTGCAAATCTAACGGAAAAAATAATGACCGTTTAAAANNNNTCAATTTGACAAAAACACCGGAGAAACGCTGAATATTCGTTGAATGATAGTTGATTTTTGTTTTCTTGAAAACCCAATAAACCATATGGAAATAGAAGTTTTTATCCCTAAGTCCATTCATCATTCTTCCCTTTTCAGAATATTCAAGCCATCAGATCTTCCGCGGACGAAATGGAATTATTTTCCGTGATCAATCGAAAATTTCGCCACATATTCAACCGGCAGGAAGAAATGAGAACGTTCAAAACGTATGACAATTCGCGTGTAAGTTCAGATGTTGTACTCAAACCTGGTAGAATTTCTCAATGGAAGTCATCTTCGGGTTTTCCGTGTACGTTTGTTACAGAATACGTCAGAGAATATGTTTTACAATTAATGCGATTGTTTTTTTTAAATTCAATTCAAACATCTCCTTAATTTATGTCATTACAAGAGCGAAATGAGTGAGGTTTTGCTATCAGTTTCTTTCCACAAAATCATGACCTCAGTGGTAGAATCAGTGCAATACTGAATCAGGTATTGCCTCTTGTTTCTATTCAGTCCGGTGCGGAGCGCTGGGGGCTAGAATCTTGGACGAGAGCGGTAAAGAAACCGAGCAATTGGTTACCCTACGTTCGATTACGGCCAAAACGCAACGAGTACTTAGTGCGTATCATCATGGAACTACGCTGTAAAACCATGGTAGACGATTTGTTAAAGGCTGCCGCTAATTTTCTCATGATCAAATCCCCGGAAGTAAGTCATTTTATATTATATTATTATTATATATGGTATATGTACTATATATTAAATGATTATATTTGAACCTGTATGAGCACAGCATCTCAAATTTTGTTAAGAAAAGATTTCACAAGGCTACCGTAACAGTACAGTTTACGTAAAATAAATCTTACTGAGTTGTCGAAATCACGGGAATTACATCATTATAAAAGAATACGGGAGGAATTTCTGCGCATGCTTATGGAAAATAGAATTTATCACCAGTTTGGGCATGTGAAGGGCTGGAAAGGGACGCACTTCAATTGATCAAAAAGTTGATTGAGATAAAAAGAATCGTTTCTGTAAAATCGTAATTTTTGTGCTGATTTGAAAGTTTCTAATTGTTAATCGAACTTGAGGACACATAATAAATGATTACCCGAAAGCAGTGTAAGATTTTAGTAACCAGAAAGTAGTAAAGAAATATAACTGAAGTGCGTAGATAAAATTATATTTTCGGATAAGAAATTGTTAAAAAGTATGAATTTTCGCAGTACTTAAGGTTTTGCGTTTTGCATCTAAATCGGTTTTCAAAACTCATGTATCAGCCTTTGAACAGTTCTGTTTGTTCTATTAACAAAACTAATTTTATTGTTAGGTAGGGGATGACGGGGATGGGTGAGTAGAACTAACTACCGTGACTGAATCAGGAAGAACGGAGAAGCACATCGGCCGTGTGTTACTGTTCTTGCCTGAATTTTTTGGCAATTAAAATAACATTTTAAAATGCCCCATAAGCAGCCTTGGGTAGATTACACATTCCGTATAATGGGCATGATTGCTCAATTACTTTTCCCTTCCTACCTCTCGTGAGGTTTCCAGCTTCATGCGAGAAGTGCAGCAAATTTTATTAGGGCACATTCACGTTGATGATTATATTGTTAGGTAGGGGATGACGGGGATGGGTGAGTAGAACTAACTACCGTGACTAAATCAGGAAGAATTTATCTCGTATTGATCGATTCCATGAAGAACTACGATGGTGCGTGGAAGGATATAAAAATAAATTTGAAGAAAAATGTCTGGTTCGGTTAATTTAAATTGATTGCTACGTTTTGTTCACAAAAGAAACGTACACCGATTTATGTACACAATGTTAGATAAGGCCGATTCCCTAAGCTTGTGGTTAAGTCCAAACTACTTTCTTGCATAGTTTTAGACACTACTAGACGTTTTGAATGTCAGTGATAATGCATCATTTTTAGTGAATAATTGAAGTCATTAGCACTGAGGGCAAACCTGATTTGGAATAGAAAGGCCCAGTGTGAGCTGAATTTTACAAGCCAAATATGAGAGCAGAATGTTTGTTTTAGTTTGGGGATAAGGTGATCAAGAGTATAAGTAACATACTTGTTTTGGATCGGTAAAACAAGTGAGCATACGCGGATAAACGATATTCATTCGGAAATGAATTTCGAATAAACCCAATCCACAGCGTGTCACTCATTGTCGGAAGTGGTTTACAATCCATTTTGAAAAGCCAATAATCATGAATTTTTGTGGGACGATTTTGACTGCTATCTTTTGGTTGCCCATTTAGATAAGTGGGAGGAAGCGAATGTTGAAATCATTTTAATGGTGAATATAGGGATTTCCTGTAGACAGAGGTACAAGAAAATTTTGTCGAAGGTCTGTTGGTGGCATCTTCCTAAATGCTGTTTAGGGATTCGATTGCAGATCTTTTGTTGCCATGCCGTTATGTCCTGTTGTTTTGTTGACACGACATCATTTAGTGACTAAAATACGATCAGATATGAGACTATTTATCGTGATACCACCGTGGTTAACTTTGTATAATCAACCATGCCACACTTTCTTTTTTAACTTTCATTCGCCTATGGATTTAATACTTTGAAGGTCACTACAGGTAAAACTTAATATTTGCTTTACGCGGCAAACCTGAGTATATATTTCTTATTTTGAAATAGGGCTAATAAACAAGATCACCTGAGTTCAGGGTGATTATTTGGTAATGTTACCAATTGGTCACCCCCGCCCAACGTACAAATCATGTATGAATGTAAGATAAGAAAAATGGTCAATTGGAATTAAAACACGGTCTTTCCTCACGGGAGCCTCAAATGTATACATGCAGGCGAGAGATGAAATGGCTACCATGCATGCAGTGAACTTAAGGTAATAGAGATATTGATGACCTGCTTTGTACCAGTGATGGGCAACACTTGTCAATTTGACCCTTTCCTTTGTTTTTCTATTCCCATCAAGAGGGTGCAAGATTCATTACGGCATCATGCCATG